TTCTGCTCCCGTAAAGATTTACAGCCTCGGAAACCCTGTACAGGGTCGCTATGAGTCGGAACCGACTCCATGGCACATAACAACAACAACAAAGTAGAGTAGTTACAGTGTTTGGCAGCAAACTATGTGGTTGGTGGTTCAAACCCACCAGCTGCTCTGCAGGAGAACGATGAGGCAGTCTGTTTCTGTAAAGATTACAGCCTTGGAAACCCTATGAGGTGGTTCTACTATGTTCTCTAGGGTTTCTATGTTGTTGTTGTTGTGTGCCATGGAGTCTGTTCTGACTCATAGCAACCCTCTACAGGGTTTCCGAGGCTGTAAATCTTAACGGGAGCAGAAAGCCTCATCTTTCTCCTGCAGAACAGCTGATAGTTTTGAACTGCTGACCCTGAGGTTAGCAGCCCAATTCATAGCGACTACGCTACCAGGTTATTGTTATTGTTGTTAGGTACCATCGAGTTGGTACCGACACATAGTGACCCTATGCACAACAGAATGACACAATGCCTGGTTCTTGGCAAACCTCACAATTGTTGCCACGCTTGAGTGCAATGATGCTGCCACTTTGCCAACCCATCTCGCTGGGGGTCTTCCTCTTTCACTCTGACCTTCCACCTTGTCAAACATGATATCCTTCTCCAGCGACTGGTTCTTGACAATATGTCCGAAGTATGACAGATGAAGTTTGGCCATCCTGGCCTCCAAGGAGCACTCTGGCTGCATGTCTTCCAACACAGATCTGTTGGTTCTTTTGGCAGCCCATGGCACTTTCAATATTCTTCTCCAACACTATAACTCAAAAGCATCAATTCTTCTATGGCCTTCTCTTTACAGGAGCAGAAAGCCTCCCATGGAACAGCTGGTAGTTTCGAACTGCTGACCTTGATGTTCACAGCCTGATTCGTAACCACTATGCTACCAGAGCTCCTTTGCCAGGCTATAAATCAGTATTATTCTTTATTAACCTGGTGTGGCGCTGTGTGATTAGCACTGGACTGTGAGCCACAAATATAGACAGTTCGAACACACTATTTGCTCCTTGGAAACCCTATACAGGGTCACTATGAGTCAGAACCAACTTGATGGTATTTAACAAAAAACAACGTAAGCCTTAAGTCAGCACCTAGAGACAAGGGTTCTGATTGCTTTTCCATTCAATCTGTGTAAAAAGAGAAGAATAATTTCTACTTTTGTTACTTGTACGGTGACAAAATTTAGAAATATGTTTTATCCTTGGGGACACAGATGTCACAGAAGGTGAGGTGGAGGTCAGACTACCATTGCCACCGATGTCACTCCGGAACCCCAGTCACTTCAGGCCAGCTCACCTACCTTCAGGGGCAGTGGGATTTTCAGGACTTTCCCTTCCATGCTCAGCTTGGTTGGCAACTGCACTTCCACTTTTTGTCCTCCGAAGGACACTTAAAGCTCGATTTATTTTCTTAAAAGATCTGCTTCTGATAGTAGATCGCTCAAAGGGCCGTGCTGAGGAAAAGACAGAAGATAGCAACAACAGTTACGCATTCATAGAAATCTCATACGTATGTATTTGATAAGCTAGAGCTTTAAAAACCAGTTGCTGTCAAGTTGATTCCAACTCGTAGCTACTCCATGAGTTTCAATGTAGAGCTGTATTCCATAACGATTGCATTGCTGTGAGCTTTTAGAAACAGATCGCCATGTCTTTATTCCATGGCACCACTGGTTAGCTTTGAACCACCAGCTTTTCAGTTAGTAGCCAAGGGTATAATCATTTGCATCACCTAGACACATGGAGCTCTGGTAGCGTAGTGGTTACAAATCGGGCTGTGAACCACAAGGTCAGTTGTTCGAAACTACCAGCTATTCGGCGGGAGAAAGATGAGGCTTTCTGTTCCCATAAAGCCTCGGAACCTTGGACTCCACGGCACACAGCAAGCCAGCCAGCCAGACACATTAAAGCATATATTTGTTGTTGTTATGTGCCGTGGAGTCGGAACCGACTCATAGCGACCCTGTACAGGGTTTCCGAGGGTGTAAATCTTTACGGGAGTATATACTATACAGTAAAACATTAACTGGTTATCTGTAGGTAGTTGGATTACAGAATTTTCTTACCTACATTTTCAACAGTGATATATGTATAATTTATTTAAAAATCTATTTTTTTCCCCCGTGAGCTACACTGAAAGCATTTTTCTTGAGCAGCATGGATAGGAAGGGACTGATACCACGAAAACGATGACTCTGTAGGTCTGGCCTCAGACCATTTCACCAAGTCAGATTTCATAGTTTTAATAATCGGAGCTACTCATGATTTCATTTTACTTTGGAGAATTGGACATTAGGCTGCTGCCAAAACTAACAGAACTATTTCTCCTTTAAAAAAAAACACAATACCAAGACAACATTTCTAGAACCTTCCAGTGCTTATTCCGTGGAGGGCAATCCCAAAGCAAGGAGCTCATTCCCAGACAACCACCCATTTGACTCACTTCTAGTTCGGTTGCTCCGGCCAGGATCTGATGGACTGTTTGCTGGCTGGCCATCCTCCACTGTGCACACGTAGGCAGGGTTGTCCAGGCCTGACTCATCTGTCAGTAAGGAGGTTGGGGCAGCTGCAGAAACATCTGGGGAGAGTGCCGTTGCTGTGAGGCTTGCACAGCCATCTTGACCACCATCTTGGGAGCGCCTCTTCCGGTCTTTGGTCAGGCCGTAGTGGGAGGCTCCTTTACAGCTGTAACCAAACCAATGGGGAAGTTAGAAAAGTCTTCAAATTTGCTGCGGTGATTAAAACAGAGCCACACTTCAAATACATGTTTGCTGTTGTTTTGTTGTTGTTGGAGTCCTGGTGTGGTGCAGGAGGGTAAGCACTAGAGTGCAAAGTCAATTTGAACCACAAAATTGGCAGTTCAAACTCACCAACCGCTCCTTGGAAACCCTATACAGGGGTGCTATGAGTTGGAACTGACTCGATGGCATTTAACTTGTTAGGTGTTGTTGAGTTAATTTTCGACTTATAGCAACCCTATGTGGCAAAGCAGAACTCCGCCATAAGGCTTCCTTTGCTATGATGAAAGAGTTTAGTTTTCTTAGAATCCAGGTTTCTGGCTCTTAAGGAAGTTGGCATAACTCTCATTGGCCACTGCCTTTAGTTGTCCTTTTAAGACTTGAAAAAAACTGGTTCCCTGGAGTCATCTAGAGGTCAAACAATAGCTTAAGAAGCAGTTTAGCGAAGATGTTTGCCTTAGGGTTCTTTTAGGAAATCATCTGCATGCAGCAGGAACTCCAGGGTCTGACTGGAATCTGTTTTAGGATATATGGCATGTCCTTAGTGACTTTCTGTAGCCTGCCTTGTACTCTTTTGAAGAATTCAGTTTGTTTTGGGAAATAGACTCAAAAGGTCAGACCAGGAGCTATGTTCAAGGTACATCAGTAATTATTTGAATTGTTCTTCAAGACAATGCTGTTTGAAAACTCTTCCTGACTACAGATTTAATGGATCTATTGTTCTCATCTTTGGAACATTCCTGACACTCCAATTGGAATGTTGGAGTCCTGGTGTGGTACTGTGGGATAAGTACTAGACTGCTAACCACAAGGTCGGTGGTTCCAACCCACCAAGTGCTCCTCAGAAACCCTATAAGGGTCACTATGTGTCAAAACTGACTCGATGGCACTAACAACCACAACAACAGTTAAAATGTTACCCCAATTTGCAAATCATACATTCTATACACTTCAATTTCTATTATTGTCTTAATATGATTTTTTGTTTTAACAGTTGTAATCTTTATGAAAGTGGATCTCCAAGTCTTGTCTCTGTCAGAGCCACTGGGTGGATTCGCATCACCAAGTTTTTGGTTAGCAGCCCAGTGCTTAAGCAGGGTAGCTCTGGAAGCGTAGTGGTTACGAATCGGGCTGTGAACCTCAAGGTCAGCAGTTTGAAACTACCAGCTGCTCCCGTAAAAATTTACAGCCTTGGAAACCCTGTACAGGGTTGCTGTGAGTCGGAACCAACTCCACAGCACATAACCACCACCACCATATATATAGGAGGAGCTCTAGTAGCGTAGTGGTTACAAATTGGGCTGCGAACCTTAAGATCAGCGGTTCAAAACTACTAGCCGCTCCGCGGGAGAAAGAGGCTTTCTACTCCCGTAAAGATTTACACCCTCGGAAACCCTGTACAGGGTCGCTATGGGTGGGAACCGACTCGATGGCACTTAACAACAACAACAACCATATATATATACTGTGAACCACAAAGTTGGTGGTTTGAGCCCACCAGCTGCTCCATGGGAGAAAGAGGGGGCTTTTTACTCCCCCAAAAGAAGGACAGCCTTGGAAACCTATACAGGATCATTATGAGTTGAAACTGACTTGATGGCGCTTAACGACAACATACAGTTGTACATATCTAGAAGGATAGGCGCCATGCTATCTCTAGGGATACTGATGATACAGTTTTGGTGGAGTATTGAAGAATATGTACAGATGGGAAAGATCTATTATTTTTGACTATGCATAGTTTTATACACAAGACTTCTTTAAAGTGCTCTGAAGCAAAGATATCAGTTTGAGGACTAAGGTGCGCCTGACCCAAGCCATGGTATTTTCAATAACCTCATATGCATGTGAAAGTTGGACACTGAATAAGGAAGATCACAGAAGAATTGATGCGGTGTTGGAGGAGAATATAAAAAGTACCATGGGCTGTCAAAAGAAGAAACCGATCTGCGTTGGAAGAAGGACAGCCAGAATGTTCCCTGGAAGCCAGGATGGTCAGGCTTTGTCTCTCATACTTTAGACGTATTGTCAGGGTGTAGGGGCAGTCCCTGGAGAAGGATATCATGTTTGGTGACATGAAGGGTCAGAGGAAGACCCCAATGAGATGGATTGGCATGGTGGCAGCAGCGATGGGCACAAATGTAGCAATGATTGTGAGGTTGGCGCAGGACAAGGCAGTGTTGTTTTGTTGCACATCTGGTTGCTATGAGTCAGTACTGACTTGATGGCACCTAACAACAACAACAACAATAGTTTTCTATTACAATGCTTCTCAAACTATAGTGAAGAAACAGTTCTTCCAGGCTAGGGTGAAATGCTACTTTTGTTAAGATCCAATAAAAATGAATTACTACTACAATGCTGTGGAATCAGTTCTGACCCATAGTGACCCTGTATAGGGTTTCCGAGGAGTGGCTGGTGAGCTTGAACCACCAACCTTGTGGTTTAAACTGACTTTGCAGTCCAGTGCATTAACCCACAGTGCCATACCAGAACTCCAATGTACCCTTGATGTTGTTGTGTGCCGTCGAGTCGGAACTGACTCATAGCGACCCTGCACAGGGTTTCTGAGGCTGTAAATCTTTACGGGAGCAGAAAGCCTCATCTTTCTCCCGTGGAGTAGCTGGTAGTTTCGAACTGTTGGCCTTGCGGTTTGCAGCCCGATTCGTAACCACTATGCTACCAGAGCTCCTTATGTACCCTTAGAAGAAAAAAATGTACCCTTAGAAGAAAAAATATACATTTGCTAAATGTGAGACAACTCAATTTGCTTCCACTTGTATTCCTTTCTCTCTTTTCACATGTAGGTATCTCATTATAAACTTGTCAACCAAATGAATGGATGAATTGAGAAAATAATTTAAGAGATGCATATTTCTGCTCCTAAGACAATCTCTGCACTGGCCTAGGAATGCAAATTTATGAACTCTGTAGTGGTGTCTACATGACCAGAGCTTGAGGCTGGTGATCTTGAACTGTTTGGACTCGGTGTTTATTTTGACCAGGAAAGCCCTATATACAAACACACTCTCACTCATTTCTTTTAGGGCTAGCTCCCAACTGAAATCCCCTACAGCACTGCATGCAATAACAGATGCTCTCAGTTTCTGTATGGAACTGCTCACAGAAGCAGAGTCTCGGTTGCCACAAAGCCACAGGAGTTTACTCAACCTGGCTTTGCCCTAGAGACAAGCTTCCTCTCTCTACCACTGGGTTGGTCTGAAAGAGCCTGCTTTGTTCCTTGGAGTGGCCAGGACCAGAGGGATTGAGTGCACTGAGAAGTTTCACTCATTGTTATGTCTTCTAACACTGGGAGAGTAAAATAGCTTTATGGTCCTTAACAAAAAGAGAATTGTCTCCATTCCTTCAAAGTGGAGTCCGTGGCTGGTGCAAATGGTTTAGGTGTTCAGCTGACAACCTAAAGGTTGGCGCCCACCCAGTGGTGCTTGGGAGCAAAGACGTGGCAATCCCATTGTGAGAATTCAATCACTGGTTCTGATGTCATACACATGGGGTCGCCATGAGTTGAAATCAACTGAATGAAAACTGGTATTGGCTTTATTCATTCATATCTGTTTTTAATTTGATTTTTTTTTTTTTTAAAGAAAAACCTTGGTGAGAAAAGCAAGTAATTGGTGAAGTAAACAGAAGTAGAGAAAAAGTAGGCCCGAGCATCTGGCAATAATGTTTGAGGCACTCTAAGAATATCACCTGGTGTGGAGCTATGGGTTAATGCATCAGACTGCAAAGTCATTTGAACTGTAAGGTCGGCAGTTCAAGCTCACCAGCTGCTCCTTGGAAACCCTATACAGGGTCTCTATGCGATGGAATTGACTTGATGGCACTTGACAACAACAAAGAATATCACCAAGTTCATATTTGGAAAATACAGCTGTGGTGACAGAAATGATGATGGTGATCACATGATAGAATTTTGCAAAACCAATGGCATATTCATTGCAAATAACTTTTTTCAACAACATAAAGGACAATTATACACATGGACCTTACCAGATGGAATATACAAGAATCAAATTGACTAAATCTGTGGGAAGAGATGGTGAAAAAATGCAATATCATCAGCCAAAACCAGGCAGACTGTGGAACAGACTATCAATTGCTTGCTTATCTGTAAGTTCAACATGAAGTTGAAGAAAATTAAAACAAGTCCACGAGAGTCAAAATATTTAGATTTAGAGATCCTATTAAGAATAGATTTGATGCATTAGACACTAATGAGAGATGTGGGATGATAACAAGAAGAAATCAAAAAGTCATTAAAACTACAGATAAGAAACAAAAGATCAAAACAAATGTCAGAAGAAACTCTGAACCTTGCTTTCCAGTGTAGAGATGCAAAAGCAAATGGAAGAATGATGAAGTAAAAGAGCTGAATAGAAAGAAAAATCTGTCAAATATTACAATGAAATGTACAAAGACCTGGAGTTAGAAAACCAAGAGGGGAGAACATGCTCAGCATTTCTCAAGCTGAGAGAACTAGAGAAAAAAACCAAGCCTCTGCTTGAAATATTGAAGGATTGGCCATCTTGGCCTGCAAGGAGCACTCTGGCTGCGCTTCTTCCAATGTGGTTCCGTTGGTTCTTTTGGCAGCCCATGGCACTTTCAACATTCTCCTCCAACACCATAACTCAAACGCATCAATTCTTCTACAGTCTTCCTTATTCACTGTCCAGCTTTCGCATGCATATGAGGTCATTGAAAATACCATGGCTTGGGTCAGGTGCACCTTAGTCCTCAAACTGACATCTTTGTGCTTCAACACTTTAAAAAAGCTCTTGTGCAGCAGATTTGCCTAATGCAATATATCATCTGATTTCTTGACTGCTGCTTCTGTGATTGTTGATTGTTGATCCAAGAAGAATGAAGTCCTTGACAATTTCAATCTTTTCTCCATTGATAAGAATGTTGTTTATTGGTCCAGTGGTG